TGGTGGTGGTGGTGGTGGTGGAGCGAGGGACAAAAAAGTTTTTTTTTCCTTTTAAGGTATTCGCTTATTAAGGTAACGTTCTATATATGCGGATCTTTCCTAAAACAACCGACGATACCGCTAGGGCGAACGCAGTAAAGAACAATGAATAAGTTGTAATGAGTGCACCGTGCGAGCCATTCCCATAAACCCACAATATATACAATGTATTCATCATTAAACTTTCACCATAGGATCGTTTCGATAGGCGATAGGAATAGATGGGAGTAATGTTGCATCCTGCCGCGGACGCTGTATCTTGAAATTTTCATTCGCTTGGAGGTCAGGCGTAAAAAACAAAAAACAAAAAAAAACAAAAAAAAACAAAAAAACGAAAACAAAAAAAAACAAAAAATAAAATAAAATCGTCAACATGACAGTGATAACTAAAACTGAGCTCGTTAAATCTTGTCAAGTTTTCGCGTCGGGCATAATTATGACAAGGTTGTCTTTGATTTTATTTCGAATAAGCCCCGATACATTTTTTAGTCTAATTTAATTTCAATTTGTTCGAAACGCAAAGTTTCCACCGATAAAAAGAGAACGTGCAGCTCATTTTCGGAGAAGGCTTAGCCCATCGCTGTTCCCAGCATAAATTTTCGAAATTGAGAATCTCCAAATTATCCTCGAAGAGGCGAGACGCGCATACGCAGCTGCTCTGTCTATAATGTCGCTGCTGTTACATTTTTATTCGCTTCCTCGCTCGAATAATAAATATCTTAATAAAAATCGACATAATATAGTCACATTTTTCGCATACGATATAAGAGTCATCAAACAGAATCAATCGTTACAAAAAAGACGTGATCTTAAAGAGGAAAGATTATTTAGGAACAAAGAAGTATATATGTATTATATATATATATGTATATATAATTTTATATATCTTAAAAATTTTTTAATAAATAACAATTCTAATATTCTTGACAACTGCATATTCTTCAAATTCAGCACATTTGTTCTGAAAAAAATATTAATATTCTTATGCAGTCGCAATAAATTTTTCCAATCTGTTCGTACAAAAAGTTCGACTCGCGCCTCTTTCACAGCGGTCGATTCAATCGCTTTGATTGCTC